CAAGGATATATAGTTTTATTAAATTGAGATGAGATTATCAGATTATGGTCATGAAATCTGCCATGACATTTCATCTGAGAAAACTAAGACCCTGGACTTTCACTACTTGGAGAAATAAAAAATATTTGAACATAAAGGTTTAACATGAATAGTTTTCAGAACAATGTGAACTTTTCTTCTCTCTTGTTAATTCAGATAATGAAACTTTATCAGTATTTGTTTGGTAATAACTAATTTCACTTTAGCCTCACCCGTAGAGATGCTGATGTTTATGCAACTGATTTTAATGAGGCCTCCTAGAGGTAGCTATGTTTATACAACTGATTTTAATGAGGCCATTGTTTCCAAAGTGCTAGAAAGAAATGTCATTTGGATCTGTTAGAGCCATTTCAAAGTTGTAGTATACAAACCAAATTCTTTTTATATTTCTTTGGGGAAGAACTGAAAGATAAAGTGTATCAATAAATGAATTATGAGCATTACCTTTTCTTTTTTATTGCTTTCTGTTTGGAGATAATAAGAATGACATATGAAAATAATATATCACATGGAGCTTCAAAGCATAATCACTGAACCACAGATTTTTTAAAGTTAGTTCATTAAAACCAGGATGGAGGGGGATGTCAAAATGATGGGTTTGATTGAATAACTGAACCTCCTCTCCTTTTCCAAATGCATTGCACACATCACACACACACACAAAACGGGGTGGGGTTTTGATCTCTAGTCCGCTTTACTATTTTGATGCTGGTTACTCCCTTTAAGATGCCCTTGATTAAAACCAATAAAATGTGACATACAGAATAATATTGGATGCAGCAGTGAATAATCATAACTTCTTTTTATCATTTAGCTTACAAAATTTAATCCAGCTGTATGTCAAAATATTCCAATATTTAATCCACACTTATGATTAAGCATATATAACTAGTCATTGATCAATATTCTTAGTATGAACATTTTAAAAGGATAGGTCTTGTACAATTATTTTTCATAGGGGGTTGAATTCTCCTACTTAAAATTTTATCTAGTAAAAGCAAAATTGCTGTCTAGAATAATCAGCTTCAATTAAATGTATCACGGATAAAAAACCCATTCCATAGTGATCTCAGTTATCTCAGAAAACCAATTGATCTATCTCATATATTTCCTCTTCCTAGAGAGAATTCTTACCCAAATTTTTTTTTACTGAAATACAAAAATACAAGGATATAAAATTAATACAAACCAAGGATCATATAAAAAAGAAGAAAAAAGAAAAAATGGAGGGGGGGGAGGAAAAAATATAAAAAAGGCAGCAGAAAAGAAAAAATATAGAAATAAATGACTCCCCCCTTCATCAAGACAAGAACAAACATTTTCAATAAACACCTTCTCTAATAGTTCAACCAAAAATCTCTTCATCCCATATCTCATCTTTTATTTATTGGCAAGTAATTAAGCCTCATTTTTCAATCATAATCAGCAAAAGTTTATTAAGAATTACCAGAACTCCAAACACACAAACACACGTACACCCACATATTAACTTTAAATGAGTAAATCTATTTCATATTTCTTTCTTTTCTTTTATAATACCATAACCCAGTGGTGGCGAACCTATGGCATGCGTGCCAGAGATGGCACTCAGAGCTCTCTCTGTGGGCACGCGTGCCATGTCCTGGAGATGGCAACTGTCCCTCTTCAACCAGCCGCCCACTAACTCGCTGAGCTCCCACGTGGCCAAATGCGTCCCAGCATGGCTGTTTTCCCTCCCCCCCCATCCCATCCCTCCTGGCCTCACATGCTCTCCTTTTCTTGGACACGACCCACTGCATCACCTTCTCAGCTGTCAGCCGGCCGTCCAGCTCAGAGGCGGCTTCTCTGAACTGCTGGCAGCGGGCTGCAGAGCCCCAGAGTGCACTGGTCGAGGGGCCAGCAGGCTGTGGCTGCTGACGGACACTGTCGGCCCCCATGCGCTTGCTGGCCTCTGTGTGGCAGGGGCTGATGGTGTCAGGTAGCAGCTGCCTTGGCCCCTGCCTCACCTTGCCCTGCGACAAGGGCACCCCCGCCCTGCCTCGCCTTGCCTCGCCTCACCCTGCAGGACGAGCCTCCTGCCCACTGCCCCATCTGCCAGAGACCCCCTGGATCTTCCCCAACCCTGCCCGGCCCCCACAAGCATCCCTCCCCACGAGCAACATCAAGGTGACCATGCCCACCTTGGCCACTCCCACCCAGTCTGCCATGACCACCACAGCCATGCTCACCCAGTGGGCCACGCCCACCTGGCACCCGGCGATAAATAAGTGGGTTTTGCATTGCAGTTTGGGCACTCGGTCTCTAAAAGGTTCACCATCACTGCCATAACCTGTCATTTTCTCTAAAAATACAAGGAAAAAATATCTTCTTCTCATATCTTATATCATATCTATAAACAAAGCTTTAAAGCCTCAGCATTCAGGCTACTCAGGAAAACCCTATTAAAAGCTGTTAGAAAAGAGGATCATGCAGTTTAATCTTGATCAAATAATCCAACTTTATAAACCTTCATTTTAGTTTTAAATATCTTGGTTATTCCTTTTAAGTAATGTCTGAAAACGTGATTTCTTCTCTCTTTTCTGTTTTTCAGGTATTCTTTTATAAGTATAATATACCCCTTTTGTAAATCCAAAGTAAGAAATTTGTTCAAGTCACTTTTCTGAGTTGAAATCCCCATATCTAAGTATTCTTAAGATTTATTATTTGTGTGATTCTTTTAATTATTAAAACCTAAGGCACTTTCATTTGTAGATCCTGTATAGCAGTGGTTCTCAACCTGTGGGTCGGGACCCTATTTGGGGTTGATCGGCCATTTCATGGGGGTCGCCAAGCAAGGCTGTCCGCCATTTTTTTGTCCACCATTTTTCCCCCCTTTTCCGGCGGGTGCCTTACCTCCCTTGGGCTGGGCCAGCTGGTGGTCGGCCTGCTCCGTCTCTGCCGCTTGGCAGCTACGCCTCGGCCGGCGCAGGGGGCGGAACCACGCATGTGCGGAGCTCCCGGGCAGGGAAAGTCCTCGACTTATGACCGGTTGGGTAGTCCTCGACTTACGACCGGTTGAGTTCTCGACTTACGACCGGTTGGGGTCGCGGCATTAAAAAGGTTGAGAACCTCTGCTGTATAGTATCTTTATCAATATTGTTCTTGTATCCTGTCAATTTTAAATTCATATCCAAAACAACCTGATTTTCATTTATATCTTCTTCGACCTCTTCTTTTAAGCCCATTTTTATTGTATCAGTCTAAATACTAAGTTCTGGGGACATTGTTGCCAAATATCCTTAAATTCTTCCAGAGTTTACAAAATTGTAAACAAACTAAAGAACTATTCTTAAAACTTTTTAAAAATCTAGTTCTTGCCCTTTAGTTCATTTGAAAACTTTCAAAAATCTGTGTTCTAATCAACCTTTTGCTGCTTATTTCCAAGTTAAAAAAAAGGGGTTTTTTTTACGTTTTAAAGTTACATAAATCTTCTTTAGTTGCAGATTGCAGGAAAATCATCTAGTATAATAAGACTTGTCTTTCTGGAGATTATTAATGTCCAAAAAGCAATTTATAAGTCATTTCCAATAAAAGTGATTAAGAGGGGAAGTAAGTGAACTCAGTGTCCTTGGGCAAAGCTGTCTCTCCCAACTCCCAAAGCTCAACAATCTTCCAGAGCAGTGGTTCTCAACCTTTTTAATGCCACGACCCCAACCGGTCGTAAGTCGAGGACTAAACCAGTCGTAAGTCGAGGACTAAACCAATCGTAAGTCGAGGACTACTCAACCGGTCGTAAGTCGAGGACTTTCCCTGCCCGGGAGCGCCGCGCATGCGTGGTTCCGCCCCCTGCGCCGGCCGAGGCGTAGCTGGCAAGCGGCAGAGACAGAGCAGGCCGACCACCAGCTGGCCCAGCCCAAGGGAGGTAAGGCACCCGCTGGAAAAGGGGAAAAAAGGCGGACAAAAAAAATGGCGGACAAAAAAAATGGCGGACAGCCTTGCTTGGCGACCCCCATGAAATGGTTGATCGACTCCAAATGGGGTCCCGACCCACAGGTTGAGAACCACTGTTCCAGAGACTGCTATTTTATGGTCCCATCATGGGGAGCAACTGTAAGGAGCACTCTGGGCAATCCCAAGACATCTGAAGAAGAAATCAGGGACCTGGTTCCTTTACCAGCTTCACTTTCCATTGCGACTGTTGGCTCTACTAAAAGTGAAGCCATTTTATTCTGCCATTGCTTTACTGTAAGTTCAAAATTTTAAATTGTTCCTGGTAAGAAAATGCAATTAGTATTTCTGTAGGACTAGTAGGAAGTTATACAAACACACATACATCCAATGTAAATATATAAGCATACAAAGTTCATGCTATTTTATGTAACTTACATTGGCTATTAAACTGAAAGTAAGATTTTCATACTATTCTCTATTTAGACAAATCAAATTGTCTAAACTTAGAAACTCATATCACCTGTTGTAAAGTTTCTAAAAGTACTAGCAAATCACAATATTCTTAACCAAAAGAGATTTATGGGGAAGACAAATAAGATACATTGTCATTCCAGAACAATAAATATATTTTTTTATAATTTTTTGTTAACCTTTTTGGGAAGGAGGGTTTCCACCACAAAGATTAATTTCAAGATCAATGCTGTGTTTATCATTTCTGCCATTTCGAAACAAGCTGAAGGATTTGTGTTGACCATTTTTAATGAATTGACAAAAATATATGAAAACCCTTATTTCCATTGCATGAAAAAATTGCTTCACTTGAATTAATTCTGATTTCATTTATGGTATTCTTTCAATCTAGAAAGTCATAAAATAACCAGACTTCAAATTCACACCTTCATGAACCTAGAGAAATTAATGAGATTTAGCAATAAGGGAATTTCTGTGCTAGTAGAGGAACAGGGTAATAAACATGTTTGAATAGCTTTAAAGAAGGTACTATAAAATGTAATGGATGGTTTCCAGAATGAAATGGCAGTATTTCAACATACCCATAACTGACACATCATATTCTATAAGCAGAGTTGCTTCTTGCCCACACTGTTTGAGAATACTCATGGCTTCATTGTGTGAAGTTCCAACAAGCCGAATTCCATCAACGCTGAGCAACCTGTCTCCAGGCTTGATAGTACCCTCTCTGAAAAAGAACAGTTGTTATTCATTTAATATAATATTTTTTAGCAAACTGTTAGAAAATATCTAGATTTTCTAGTGTTTTTTCTCAACATCCAACACAACTGTCTGTTCTCTTAAAATTTACTATGGGTATGCATACAAAATATTTCATTTCAAAAATTTGAGCATAACATTTCCCAGTTTAATCATTAGATAGATCAGTGGTGGCGAACCTATGGCACGCGTGCCAGAGGCGGCACTCAGAGCCCTCTCTGTGGGCACGCGCGCCATGCCCCGGAGATGGCAACTGTCCCTCTTCGGCCTCTGCCTCACCTTGCCCTGTGACAAGGGCACCCCCGCCCTGCCTCACCTTGCCTCGCCTTACCCTGCAGGACGAGCCTCCTGCCCACTGCCCCATCTGCCAGAGACCCCCTGGATCTCCCCCAATCCTGCCCGGCCCCCACAGGCATCCCTCCCCACAAGCAACATTGGCCACACCCACCCAGTCTGCCATGACCACCACAGCCATGCCCACTTAGTGGCCCACGCCCACCTGGCACCCGGTAATAAATAAGTGAGTTTTGCATTGCAGTTTGGGCACTCGGTCTCTAAAAGGTTCGCCATCACTGAGATCGATTATCTGGAAGACAGGGGCAATGTTTCAAGCTCAAAAGAGAATTGATTTGAGTGCCTTGAGCAAAAAGCACTTAGTGACCACTGCCAATCCCAACTGTGATCACTAAACAAGGACTACCAGTATTGTAGAAAGCTTTTTTGTACTGCACTGGCAATCATGGAAAATTTAGATCTGCCCTTTGAATCTTATTATGTTTGCCAGCTATAAAAATAGTCTTTGGAAATTGTAGTTGCTCATACTTTCCATTTAAAAATGTGTAAGTTTGAAAATCATTATTTTATTCCCTTACAAAAGGTTTTTTTTTTCTTATTCAACATGACAGATATTGGAATAATCTTTCTTTTCTGGGTTCATATAAAAATACATTCAGTTCTATAGAAGAAATTACTGTTATATTTCCATCCATAAGATATTAAGCCATTCCTAAAGTATGCTTTTTTAAAAAAAAAATTAAAGGACTTTTTTTCAAATAGAAAAAAAATAACACCCTAGAATAAAAATAAAATTTTGGGGAAACAATTTTACAAAAAACAGAAGTTTAAACTTGTACAGTATTTTGTTCTCTGTGTCCTACTTTAAACACTGGTTCAACATTCAGATATTAAACCCTATTTAATAAAAAAAAGCCATGTTTCTTTAAAATTCACATCATGCAGTCTTATGCAATGCTTGTTATAACACAAATAATGAAATAAGTAATTTATTAAGTTAGATTGTATGATTATACATGAGGGTGTCTCATGTGCTTTGTACTTCTGGGTCTTAATTTGCACCTTCCTCCAGTAATTTAGCCTTTGACCTTTTGTATTTATATCTCTTCCTATTTGTGAATGTCAGTATGTATAAGTGCACTCCAGAAAATGAAATATACCTGTCGGCAGGACCTCCAGGTCTAACACATGTTATTACAATAGGACGGGATTTATTTCTGACATCATGTGCTCCACCTAGGAAAGTCAATGAAATGGACACATTCTTACACATGTATCAAAATCTACATCCAGATTAATATCTTGAATATCTTTAGAATGTTTGAACATAAGTTTTCTTTTCCACTCCTGTTTTTAATATTACTTAAATATTCATGAGGCTGGTTCATAAACATAATGAGCAGAATCTAGTTATATTTGTTGGGACTAATTCCATGAAAACTATACAATGATATTTGATTACAACTAAGTTTTCATGCAATTATTTCAGGCACATTAGCAATGGGGGGAGTGTGTATAATGGATGAAAGCATACAATATGGGAGTAAATCAACTCAATTTTTTTGGGAAACAAATTATTATGGGGAACTTACCTCTAATTACAAATCCAAAAGTGTTCCCTTCTTTATGTAAAGTAACTTCCACAGTTCTAAAAATAACACCTGAACCTTGTACAGCTGAAAAATAAGATAAGCCTTCTAATTATACTGCTTGCAACAAAACTAAATTTTACAATTTAATCATAATTAATGTATCATTTATTTGAGCTGAGTTTTGTGCCCAAGGTGGGATTAGAACTCATGGTTCCCCATTTTCTAGCCAGTACACCAAAAATAGCAAAATGGATGAGCTCAAAAATCTTCTTTGCGAAATAGATGTTAAGATCACTAAATGGAGCATCGAAAGCTAAATTACTTTTATTCTCAAGTAACATAAAAGCATTACACCAAAATTGATCCTGATAGCAGAACTGCAAATATAGATTTAATGGAGGCTCGGGAAGAAAAATAGGCAGTAACAGAGAATAGAAAAATCTCCCTCCTGGGTTTCATTGCATCATGAATATACTGTAGGATGTTATCGTCTTGGATAGAGAACAGAAATTATTGAAAATAATGGCAACTCATGTATCTTGCACCAGAAAAGGGTGATGTTGCATATTGCTATGAAAGGGATAAATGAGATTAGAAGGCATAAATTGTTGCATTATGATATACAGCTCCTGCAACATCAGCTGAGCATACAATCCAAAAAATATTATGTGGCTTTTCGGTTATAGTGCATATATAACAATTGTGCTAACTTTTAAATGTTCAATTTTGCCTTTGGTGATTATCAAAATGAAACATTCTTAGGAGATTTCAAATCACCTCTTTTGGGGTTTTAATAATAACTAGATTTGCCCTTTACTCAATAGCAGAAATCAAACTAGGACAATAGATAGGCCTGCAGCTGGGAAAGAGTGCAAGCTCATAAAACTGATAATCAACTGGAGATAAGACACTGAGTTCAGTTACTCTCAAGGTCAAATTCTGCCAAATACAACTCCCCTAGAAAGAGAAGAGTCAGCAGGAAGATTGGAGAAAAAGAAAATTAGAAGTTGGTGCAAAAAATTCCCCCAATCTTCTGAACTTTAAAATTCTCATCAGACTGAGCAAAAATAACTGAATATACCTTGGAGACATTTTTTAAATGATAATAGCTATTACAGAACTGCTTAGAACTTTAGTATCAACAAAAAATTAAGAAAAAAACATGAACTTTGATTTATTAGATAATACAACACGACTCAACATAGGAATAGCTCAAGATTCCAGTAACTTAAAAATAGGAAGTATGATAGTTTAATATCAGATAGTGGGAAAAGTGGCAATGGATGAATATGAGACAAGAAGTCGGACAGCAGTTTTTCTCTGATCAAGAGGAAAAAAAGTTCCTATAGATTTGACAACACAATGAATGTAGTTTGTAAATGGCCTCTACATGATAAGCAATCTAAAGTCACTTGATAATCCAATATCTTATTAACATTTACTCATAGTACCATTAATTCTATCTGTATGTCCTCCAAAACCTCTAAGTAACATTTACTTTTGCCCTTTTCTTTGGGATCTGAAAGTTTACCCTGTGAACTCCAAGATCAAGTGGGAACTTGAACCTGAATTTTCCAAGATAAAAACGCTAGAAAGACATGGCTGAAAATCTGTTGGGGAAGATTTTTGAGCAAAATGCACTAGCATGCTGAAGTTCTAACTGATGATAGTGAAGCAATAACATGACCATTGATCAATAATTTATCAATAGACAAGCCTTTGAATTAGTCCTTCATGGATGCAGCAGAAAGACTGGAAAACAAATTTATTGGTATTTAAACAAGTTTAATCATTTTATATATTTATTAATTTACTTAGTTTATTTAATTAATATTTATATCTTCTAACTTTTTTATTTTTGTAGGTGTATTCAAGCAATTAAAAAGAGAAACAGTGAAAGATAGATATATGCTGAATGCTGAGCAGCGGTGCTTTATCAAGTGTCTTCCCAATGATTGGCAGAGCCCTAGGTCTTATATTAGTGTAAAACAGTGTCACAAAAAAGCATAGAAAGAACAACCCTCAAGACAATCTAAACAGTCTATTTCAAAAGGTAGTCAACTGATTTGATCTATGAATCTTACTCTAAAAACTATAGAAACAGATTTGTATACACAGATTAAAGTGTAAAAGCATGTGCTATGCCCCTATTAGTGAAACATGGAAAAGAGTTTAAATGGTAATTCAGAAAACTACCTTATACTGATTCAAACTATGAATTCAGTATTCTCTATCTACAATGATTTTCAAGGATAACAATCAGGAGCCCCCCTAGATATGCCAGAGATTAAACTGGAACTTGCCAGCCAGGGTGGATAGGGAAGGAAACATTTTTTTACCTTTCTTGTGCTAAGATTGAATGTTATAGCATTCTATTTTTCTTTAGCTCAAAATTAATCTAAAACCAGGCAAGACCTTTTTTTTTTTTTTGCTCCTAGAACTAATGGGAACATTGTGTGTGTGTGTGTATTTCTTAGTCCATATTGTCACTCAGACACAAATGAAGCAACAGAGGAAAAGTATGCAGTACCTTACAAATAATGTCACAATTAGTGGGCTACAGTAATTGAAGGAGAAATGTTAGTGAATGTTTTGAAGTATCATCTAAATTATTAAAGGGCTTTCTTAACCAGTTTTTCAACTCTGATAGGACAGAGGAAAGTGCATAGTTTCTGAGCCAGCTTTGTCAAAAGAAAACTGGGTGTTACATCAAATTATTGCAATTCTAAATTTAATATATACAGTATGAGAGAGTCAATGTTAATTATCTCTGTTGAATAAGATGTTTGCGCTAATATACAGAGAGCTTGTTGCATTATAAGAAATTGCGTGTACGCATTTTGACTATTGACAGTACTAGCTGGACATCTATCATGGAGTTCGAATCCCACCAGGCTCAAGGTTGACTCAGCCTTCCATCCTTCCAAGATGGGTAAACTGAGGACCCAGATTGTTGGGGGCAATATGCTGATTCTGTGAACTGCTTAGAGAGGGCTGTAAAGCACTGTGAAGCAGTATATAAGTCTAAGTGCTATTGCCATTGTTATCTCATGTAAAATGATTATCAATTTTATTTACTCTTCAGTAAATATATATATATATATATATATATATATATATATATATATATATATATATATATATATATATATATATATATATATATATATATATATATATATATATATATNTGGCTAGTCACCCTGACGAAGCCGGCAGGAGGCCGGCGAAAGCTAGGTGTTTTAATGTTTTAATAGCAATAAATTTTTGTAACTTTTTAATCTCCTGGTGGTCTCACTGCTTGTGACCCTTCGAACATGAATTTACCCAGGAGTCATCCTCCAATTTTTAGAATTTTAAAGGACATATATATATATATATATATATATAAATGTATATATATATATAAATGTATATAACATTCAAACTTACAGCAGTCTTTGTCATCATCCAGGAAGACAGTTAGGAACACACAAGACAGTTAGGAACACAGGAACATCATAAGGTAAATTAAACAGTATTCAGAGGAAAAAAGAAGGGGGAAAAGGGAAAAAAACTCCCCCTTTATATTTACAGCAACCAATCATAGCATAGATTGCATCATGCATAAGCCAGCACTCTCTAACTACAACTGTGTGTTCTGGCCTATTGTACACTTTACTGTTCCAGCTACTAAATTCAATATCCTAACATAGGTATCACTCATTTTGATACAGAAAAAATTACTATTCTTAAGAATAATGTCTGATTAGATAAAATCATCATAGTACTAGAGAGCTCTGCCGCCTTCATCAATAGCAATCCTCTTTCCAGAGTCTCTTCTGGCAACATACAGACCATCCATTGTAGTTATAAGTATTTCACAAATGGCAACCTAGATAAGCATTGCTAATGTGGAAATTAAAGAACAAAACAGTGAGGCTGTGAAACAGGAGAAGAGAGTGTGTTGGAAAAAAGCTATTACCATATTTGTATCATACCATCAGTTTAATATATCCATTAATTTTATTAAAAACATTTTACACAGATTATTTTATAAATTATTACTTACAAGCAGGTGGCAGCTCATACTCCACTTCTAATACAACCCGCTCACCAACATTCTTGAGCAAACTAATGATCTCATCATGGCGAAACTTTGTCAGGTTGATTCCATTTACAGATTTGATGTAATCCCCCACATCCAGTTGGTCACTTCTGCAACACACATCTCTTCTTCAGTGAAGCTGTATTTTATTTGTCTTGTAACATTTAAATGTTTGTAGCTCAGGGTTGAAATGAGAGATTCTTGGTGCTCTCTGAGCTTGTTTGTTTTCTTGTAGATGTTTCATTACCCATACTAGGTAACTTCATCCATCTAGGATGAAACACTACCCAAACATCTGCAAGAAAACAAACTCAGAGAGCACCAAGGACCCCTCGTTTACAAGTAAAAATATATTATTTTAATGCTAATTTTCAAAATAGTGATATGACATTCTATATATAGCAATATAATATTCCTTTATTTGTGTAGTATTATTACCATATATAAAAGCCTTACAAAGCAAAAATGAGTCTTTATTTTAGGAAGCAAGTCAAATTGTTTCTCCATATAGTCCATTGGCTATTTGATTGACAAAGTCTCTGCATGTCCAAATTTCTATAATTTGACCCTTTAAATGACACAGATCTCTCAAAAATGTACTAGATAGGAGAATAATGTTTCAGAGTGTCATGTGGAAATCATTCACTTAAGATCATTTTGAGAGAGCAGTGATTAAGCCTGAATCCTGCTTTATGTGAGACATGTTTTCTACGAACATTAGGTTTAGTGAAATATAATTTAAAATACAACTGAATTGTTCACAAGTAGAAAAAGTTGCCAATTTAAGAATTAGTCACAGAACAATTTATTTAAATTTTTGAATTCTTTGTCACCGCTTGACTGCAGAATATATTCTGCATATCACTAAACATTTTCTTTATTTGTAATATTGCATCTTACAATATTTCTCAACTTTCTCAGCTATCACAGTTCTGTGTTTCTTCTCTAATGGCCTAATTTAGGTAAAGACATCTATTATTTATTGTTGAGGAATTTGAAGCTATTTTGTGTGTGTGTGTGTGTGTGTGTTCTTTGTCTTGAAAAGTCTTTACCTAGCAGCAATTCCTCCTTGTCGAAGGTTAGACACTCTTGGTTTTCCATCTTTGTCTGTTCCACCAGATACTGTAAGCCCCAAAGTAGTGCCCTCTTTCTTTATCAGTTCAACGATTGTTGAGCCTTTGAATTCCTCTGTTGAAAAAAATATTACTATTAAAAAAGTTTACATTGTAAACTGTAATTTCAGAAAAACTGTAACTTCCATAAAGAGAAAAGGTAGCTTGAAAAATATTTCTGTATTAAGTTTTTTCAAATACAAATGATGAAATGGATTCTATTCCCCCAGAGTTTATTTCACAATATATTTGCTAGCCATTAAGATATCATTTTGTTGTAAGAATTTTTTATTCCTTAAAAGATCTCTTATCTGTGTTTTAATGTCATAACAATGACTTAGTGCTGAGAAATAAATCAGTAAATAGACTCCATTGTTTGCAGCTTGCAGACGAAAAAAAGTAGGTTATTTTTAAAGATTATATACAACATAATACTACACGTGGTTAAGCCTGTTGAAATCAATGGACAAAATACATTTAATTTAACCTAAATAAACATTATTTTAAACATATATTATTCTGAACAAATGACAGTTTGTAAATAAAATAAAAAATATGTTGACAAAAAGCTTAAATTGCTAATCTGGTAATCTTACTTTGAGAAAAACATCTAATGAACAACTCAAGGATAGGCTTTCCTATTTCAGACCCACCCCCCAAAATCACATGCCTTAGCATAATCCTGTCCTAAGTAATGAAATCCATTAAGGTTTTCTATCTTAATCTTAATTATAATGAAATAATCCAATTCAATAGGAGTTATTACTACTATAAATAGAATTGCAAAGTTGGAGAGCTGGTATCTATTGAAATACCTTTTGTGTATAGACGTCTAGCACAATGTCTCAGATTGTCTTTCCAAGAATTATTTTATTTCATCATTTATAATTGTTTTTATTTATTTTTAAAATATGTATTACATATAAAAGCTTAAAGCATATGACTAATTATAAACACTGATTCAACAAGAATGTTAGCATTCTTATTCTGTATTTCTGATTTTCAAGGGTTAGTGGCCATTTTGAATATATTGATAAATTGAAAAGGGTACTCCAGAAATGCAGAAATTTTGATTACAAGATTTCATATGGGACACTTGAAATTTTCAACAATGATTATCAAGTTTTATTTTTTGCAGCCAAAATATAAGCAATTTTATTATTAAAAATCATACTTTACAGATTTATATGAAAATACACAGAATGGTTCTTGCCCAGATCTGAGTTCCATTGATTGCAATGATAATCTCTTACCATTAAGACTGTTGATTACACACATGACAGGAGGAAAACATTCTAAAACTGCATAACCACCCTCCAAAGGAAGGATTCAGACTCCAGGACTTGCTTTCTCTTATAGTCTTTTCTATACTTTTCCGTTTCTAGCTATGATGATGCCAAAATTATGAAACATGTGTTATGACATTGCATCCATTGCCCTTTCATACTTCCTCTAGCAAATTTGTGAAATCAAACAAAAGAACAACATAAAACAACCCAGATATTGAGCTTAAATGTCTTGGTATTTCCTCATAAACCAGATTCATTGTAGCCACATTCAATTACATTGAAAAATGTAATTACATAGAGCTATTTCAGGAAGCATTAGTAAGGCCTGGGTTAAACCTACATTCTTTTGCACAATTATGTAAGAGTAAGTTCTACTGGAATAAGTGAAATTTATATGAATAAACATGGGCAGTCATGCAGAAAGATTAATCATTTGATCCATAGCTTACTATGACATTTACTCATTTTTATATGCCAAAGTAGTTCTGGCATGTAATCTTCTGGCAATAAAAGGAAGACACTCAATGATAAAAAAAAAAGGTTAATCTGGCAGAAGTTATTCGATTCAAAGACTTCATGTAAAATTACCATAAGACTAAGAGACATATCTTTTCCTAACTTGTTCCTCACATGCACACTCAGACAAAAAATAAAAATAGAATTTTATATGCTGAAAGCATTGTTTATTTTAAAATCCAGATTCACCATCCCTTTTGAAAGAATAGATATGATTTAAGGAGATCCTTTGCTCCAGAAGTGGGAATATGCCAATAAATGTATTATTGAACTAAAACTTCCAGTAGCTCCAAGAAGCACAGCCAGTGGTAAAAAATGCTGGGATATGTTGTTTAGCAACATCTACGGTCTACAGTTTATCTGTCCTAGTCTTAGCTGTTTTTAAACTGAGTAGAGAAAATATTTACATTAAATTTTATACAAATTTGTACTTCAAATGAAAAGCAGGTTAGTTTTAAGATACTTCCCTTTTCTATGCATACTAAAAATATAAACATAAAAGGAATCATATGGTTCTTTTGCAGTGGAAGCAAACATTTGAGAGTGCAGAAAAGGAGTAAAGAATAATAAGACAAAGAGATTAAATGAATGAGATATGAAAAAGGAGATATAACAAAATAGTTTATACTGAAACCATTCACTATGCTTCCCCAGACCTTCTATTATTTCTACACGTTTCATATAACATTTTATGTTCTTTAATGTCTCACTTCTCTCCTTTTTGAGAATCAACTTCAAGCATGACTTTCTCAATGGCTTGCTGAAGAGCAAGCCTCTGATCTGCACACCCCATATCTAGCATAAAACCACTTCCTAAATTCTGCTTATTCTCACAGCTTGTAAGCTTTCAATTGGAATGCTGCCAAACACCTGCTCAGGCACACTTAGCAAACTAATCCCCTTCTAGCTTTTGCATTCCCTCTTGCTATCTTTCTATTTGTATAGGAAAACAGTCATGGCAATCTTCTAGCCATCAGGCACAGATGTTCTATTCATGCACACATCAAAAAAGTTGCACAGGCACTCACATGAAAATCACATCCATATTTTAACATTTCTTCAGTTATACTGCAAGTTCACATTTTGTGGACTCTTAACATTTAAAACATTCTTTCAGTTCCACTCTTCTGCACAGCACTATCATTCTAATAGAAATGTCTTTTAGTATTTCCATACTTCAGTTTTACCCTAAATAATGTAATAATTTTTATTCTGAATTTCATACATCTTGTAGTCTGTTCCTTGTTTAGCTTTTTCAACCTTGCACCCAAGGCATCTATTAGTATTGGTAATATATTATGGTTTGTCACACAATCAGCCAGATGTTTAGACTGGATTTGGCATTTTTATTCACCTACTGAATCTTTCCCGAGATAGGCTGATGTTGTTTGTTATTATTATTGACATTCTGTGTAATTGAACTGTTTTACCATGTTATGGTCAACAATTAAACTTGATTGTTATTTCATTTACCTATACTCTTAACATTGTCATAGAACTCAGTTATTTCTGAACAGGATTTTATTAGAGCTCAAGACATGACATTACTTTACTTTATATAGCATGACTGGTCTGCTATCAGAATAGAGATTTTGCTCAAGAGAATATGTTTGTATCATACTTAATTTGTAAACATGAGTTTTTATACTTCATTTTAATCCTTTAATCAATTTCAACGAAAAACAAGGCTTTAGCAACTATAATGAATTCAAAATATAACCTCTGTAGAAAACCATCACATATGGAATCTAGCTAATTCAGTTTTTAGAGACCCTGCCTTCTAATAGCCCTTTCCCCATAAATTAATAATAACAGTATAATCACACAAACTGATTATAAACAACAACATACCGTAACACAGCTGCCAATCTCATTCACTAGAACATCTATAAAAATTATTATGTGCCAGTAATGAAAAATTCGTATAGTCATGGCCATGGTTTTCCCAGTTGCAATGTATGGCTGTGAAAGTTGTACCATAAGAAAGGCTGAGCACAAAAGAACTGAGGCCTTTGAACTATGGAGAAGACTTCTGCAAGTCCCCTGGAATGCAAGGCAATCAAACTGGTCAGTCCTAGAGGAGATCAACCCTTTAGAAGGCCAGATCCTGAAGTACTTTGGCCACCTAATGGGAAGTAAGGACTCACTGGAGAAGAGCCTAATTTTTGTGTATTCCGTTCGTTGGCAATTGATGAAGACACATGGTGAACAATCAAGCTCTTTATTAATCTTCTCCTACAACCAAGCAAACAGCAAAAGGCATGCAGGCCTTTTATAGGGCCTTAGACCCAGACAGTGTTAACCAATAGGAACTGGCTGTTTTCGCGCCTTGCGCATGCGCACACGGCTGGCGCCAACCAGTCTGGTCCTGGGCAGCTTTTGGTTTGCCCGGGACCGTTTGCTACAATTCTGAGCCTGCTTCCTACTCTAGCAGGCTCAGGACACAACACCCCTCCCCCTTAGATAAAACACACCTAGCTGTACGCACAGGTACATAGTTCAAAAGGCAGGAAGAATGGAGTTACACTGGTCTGCACACAGGCAGGACACTTTTAAAAAGTGATTATTAAACTAAACAAAATGCACCCAAAATATGACACTCTGTACTGAGTGTTAACCAACATCCTGCTACAGATTAGCAAGGTTCCTCATGTATTGACAGAAACCTCACATAATCTCCTAGATGTTTGGGTGGGCACTTGGTCTGCTGTGACCTTCTAATGGCCGGGGAGTTTGCCTGGCCTACCTGCTCGCCTACCAGGCTAGGCAGGCCAGGACTTTGATGCCCCAAATATCCAGGTGACCCACCCAGCTGCTGACTGGCTGGACCCTCTGAGTCCAAGCCAGTGTACCTTGGAGGGGTGGAAGTCCCCGAGTCCACAATAATCATATGCTGACAGGAAAATTGACCATCTCAGCATACGTGGAGAAATAATGTGTGATGTCTGTTTGTTAGTTGTAAACAAGCCCAGCAAAGGCTTGTGGTCTGTATAGACTGTGAAATGGCGGCCATATAAGAAATCATGGAATTTCTTTATGCCAGCCACTATGGCCAAGGCTTCTCTGTCAATCTGAGCGTAATTCCGTTCTGCAGATGACAGAGTCCTTGAATAATATGCTACAGGGACTTGTGTCCCATCAGCCTTCAGGTGGCTAAGTACTGCTCCCACCCCATAAGGAGATGCATCGCATGTGATGCATACAGGCAGTTGCTCATTGAAAAGCATTTGAAGAGAGCAAGGCCTTAACCTCATTGAAACTCCTTTCATGG